GTTTAGGGTTTAGGGTTTAGGGTTTAGGGTTTAGGGTTTAGGGTTTAGGGTTTAGGGATTGGGGTTCATGGGTTTATGGTTTAGGGCTTAGGCCTTGGGGCCTAGGGTTTCATTTTTAGGGCTGCCATGCGCTGCCGACTGTCTTCTGAACATGGGGAAAACGTCTGGTGTGCACGCTGGCGCAGTGGGCAAGAGGTCGCCAAACTGGGGGTTTCTCTGAATTAAATGGCTTAAACCCAGAGGTTTAGGAATTGGGGCCTAAGGTTTCAGATTTGTAGGGTTGTTGAAGGGTTTGTCGGGTTTAGGAGTTTAGGGGAGCCCTTAGCACTTTTGGGAGCTTGGGGTTCGGGGAGTTTGAGGATGTTTGGGATTACAGCGCTCCTTTCCCTCTGAAAAAGCCTTGCTCAGCGCAGCCGTCCAGCCATCATAGGCAAGTCGCCTCCATAGGCCCCCTCCTCCTCCTCCCCCCCTCCTCCTCCTCCTCCTCCTCCTCCTCTGCTGCTCCTCCTCCGCTTCCGTCACCAATGTCGGACAGACTCACAAAATAAGACTGAACCCTAAACCCTTGGCCCCTTAAACCCACTGCAGATCTTCCTGAATATGTATGACCTCCTTGAACCCAAGAAGGGAACATGTGACATATCCCAAAGGGCCTACCTCAACCCCAAACCCTAAACCCCAAACCCTAAACCCTGAACCCTAAACCCCAAACCCTGAACCTGAAACCCTAAACCCTAAACCCTAAACCCTGAACCCTAAACCCTAAACCCTAAACCCTAAACCCTAAACCCTAAACCCTAAACCCTAAACCCTAAACCCTAAACCCTAAACCCTGAACGGACCAAATTGGTCTCCGGAGAGAACCCGGGCCTCCAGGCGGCTGAGGCGGACGAAGGCGCAGCGTGCGCCCGAGGCACCGCGGCCGTCGATGAGGAAGACCTGCCCAGAGCTGCAGAGTTCGGGGATTGGGGCTGAGAGGGTTTAGGGTTTAGGGTCTAGGGTTTGGGGTTTGGGGTTTGGGGTTTTGGGTTTAGGGTTCAGGGTTTGGGGCTTAGGGTTGGGCGCTGAGGGTGTCGAGGTTAAGGGCTCGGGTTTGGGGCTGTAGGGTTTCAGGGCTCTAAGGTGACAGGTTCTAGGGCTTGGGGTTAGGAGTTTGGGCCTCTTGACCCTTGACCTTGAACCCCAAACCCTGAACCCTAAACCCTAAACCCTAGACCCTGCCCTAAACCCTAAACCCCTGAATCCTAACCCTCAACCCTGAACCGGCCTCCAAGACCTCGCCATACTCTTCAAACGCGCGCGAGAGGAGGTCGTTGGTCGTCTGGCTGGTAATCTCTCATTCTGGGGTACTTGAAAATCGGCTTAGGGTTTCGGGTTTAGGGTGTATAGGCTTCAGGGTTTAAGGTTTATAGACTTGAGGGTTTTTGGTTTAGGGTTTATAGGCTTGAGGGTTTTGGTTTCGGGTTTATAGGCTTTAGGGTTCAGGGTGTATGATGACCAGAAGCCCCCCTACAAGGACCCAAGTTTTGAGGAGGAGGTGACCCTAAACGACCCAAACCCCCCCTGATCCCTCAGTGGCACCAAATCCCTAACCGAAACCCTGAGCTATAAACAACCCTAAACAGCCTTAAAGCCCTAAACCTCGAAAACCTAAAACCCTGAAGCCTAAAGCCCTTAACCCTGAACCCCAACCCTAAACCCCAAACCCCAAAACCCCAAACCCTAAACCCCTGAAACAACTTCAACCCCAACCCCTTAAACCCCAAACCCCAAAACCCCGAACCCTAAACCCCAAAAACAACCCTAAACCCCCTAGACCCGAGATTACTAAACCGCCAAACCCCTGGACCCCAAACCCCAAAACCCCGCCTAAAACAACCCTAAACCCCAAGCCCCTAAACTCCTAAAACCCCTAAGACCCTAACCCTAAACCCTAAACAGGCCCTAAACCCGCCCACCACCCCTCTCATTCTAGAGGTGAGTGGGCGCAGTTGAGCGCTCAGCGAGACCACGCAGGCCCGATCTAGGCTGATCGGGCCTGCAGGCACAAGCCTGAAAGGGTCGCCAAGCTAGAGTCGCCTAGCTCAGTCACAATAGATATTGTATTACCCTAAAATTGAGGGGGGGGATCCTTTTTCAATTTCCTGCCTCTGGCCCTGATCGCCCTGGCTCCTGGCCCTGGCCCTGGCCCTGGGCCCTGGCCCTGGCCCTGGACGTCCTGGCCCTCACCCTGCTGGCCCTGGCCCTGGCCCTGGGCCCTGGCCGCCTGGCCTGGCCCTGGGGCCCTGGCCCTGAAACCCTGGCCCTGGGGCCCTGGCCCTGGCTGGCCCTTGACCGTGGGGTTGGGAGCTAAGAACAGACCACGAATTGAAAGCCAACTCAAAAGGCAAAGCCCTGCAAATTTTTCTATGAGATGGCGCTTGGGCGCAGACCGTCCCCTGCGCAAAACCTCGCGACACCCGTTCCCGAATTTATCGAAAACTAGACCAGCTCACGCCCTGAATTTTTCTATGATAGGGCCCTTCGGCCCAGACCGTCCCCTGCGCAAAACCTCACGACCCCGCTCCTTCACCTGTAAAAAACGTTCTCGGCTCCTTTTGCAAGGGAGTTACCTTTCAAGCGACCTTGGCACTCCTCAACAGTCGGAAACCTTTCACGGCCCGGAATTTCATGAGAGGGCCTTTCGGTTCAGACCGTCCCCTACGCAACAGCCTGAGGGGGGGGGTATCCTCTGCCACCATGACTGCGGCATCCCCCAAACATGTGTCACGTGTGAATTTTTAATGGCTTCGGCTTGGTTTGGGCTGGCCCCGGTTTGGTTCGCAGTGAGTAGTGTTTGGGTGGTCTTGGGGTGGGCATGTCTTCACACAATTGCGTACAGCTGACCACTGCTACACCCTAAACCCTAAACCCTAAACCCCCCAAACCCCTACGACCCTGAGCCCCCGCACCTCAACTGGGAGTCGGCCCACGAAGAGCTTCACGCCGCCCTTACAAAGAGAGCCGCGCAGGTTAAAATGATCTTGAAGTGTGTAGGGTTTAGGGTTTAGGGTTTGGGGTTTAGGGTTTAGGGTTTAGGGTTTAGGGTTTGGGGTTTGGGGTTTAGGGTTTAGGGTTTAGGGTTTAGGGCTTAGGGCCGCCCAAGGGTTGAAGCTTCTGTTAAACCCAAAGTTTAGGGTTTGGGGCTTGGGGGGGTCGAGATCAGGAAATTGGGCTTCGGAGTTCGGGGTTTGGGGTTTGCGGATCAAGCTGTTTAGAGTGTTGAGGGTGTAGGGCTTAGGGTTTAGAAGGTTTAGGGTTTAGCGTTGAGGGTTTAGGGTACCCATAGTCTCAAAATACACTGCATGAACACACAACCTGGTTTTGGAGCCAACAAGAAACGTCCTAAGTTCAAACCCGAGACCCCGAACCCTGAACGCCAAGACGGCAGAACTTTCGTAGGAATGGCCCTCGGAACCAGTCTTCATTCTTACACCCTTAACCCTAAACCCTAAACCCTAAACCCTGAACCCTGAACCCTAAACCTAATGCTCTCCCCGCAAAGCCGGAGGCGGCGCCCCAAGAAGCGCTGCGTACCTTATTGGGGCCTTATTATGGGGCGATCCTAATATTGTGGATTTATTTTCGGGGGCCCCCGTTCTCGTAAACCCCCCAAATGTGACAGGGGCCAGGGGGGGGTTCCGTAGCCCCAAGAACTTCCCTAAAAGCCCGGAGCCTTCCAACAGGGTTCGGGCTCAGCCCCCCCCCCGCTCCTTGGTAGCCCGTGGTGCACGGTTTCCCTCTTGTGCGTTCAAGGCTCCCTTCGAAAGTGACCAACCCCCAAAAAGGGGGGTACCCTTACTACAATACGGGGGCTTACGATAAGAAGGGACCCCGAATATAGACCCCCAAAATAGAAAGATTTCCTCATAATAGGGACATCATATGGTACCCCGAATTTCGGGTTCCTAGCCTTAGGAACTTGAGATTCAGCCCTGGAAGCTTCAAGCCCTGGGCGTATCGAAGCAATAGGGTTCAGGGTTCAGGGGGTAGGGAGCGCAGCCTGGTGCCCCAACCTTGAATCCTGAGCTAAAGAGCGCCTTGACTCGCTCCACCAGCGGACGTCGATCAAAGGGGTTCGACCTCTCCGGGGCTTAGGGTTTAGGGTTTAGGGTTTAGGGTTCAGGGTCTAGGGTTTAGGTTTAGGGTTTAGGGTTTAGGGTTTAGGGTTTAGGGTTTAGGGTTTAGGGTTTAGGGTTTAGGGTTTAGGTTTAGGGTTTAGGGTTTAGGGTTTAGGGTTTAGGGTTTAGGGTTTAGGGTTTAGGGTTTAGGGTTTAGGGTTTAGGGTTTAGGGTTTAGGGTTTAGGGTTTAGGGTTTAGAGTTTAGGGTTTAGGGTTTAGGGTTTAGGGTTTTGGTGTTGTGGCATGTAGGGACCCTCAGCCCTGATGAGTGAATCCTAAACCCCTGAAGCAGAAAGCATCTGACTGGATCCCAATACCCAAAGCCCCAAAGCCCTAAACCCTAAACCCTAAACCCTAAACCCTAAACCCTAAACCCCAAATCGCAATCAACTCTTGACCTGTTCTGGCTCTCAGGGTGAGCGCGATGAAACACAACTCTAGGCTTGGAGGTACTGGGTTTGGGGTTTAGGGTTTAGGGTTTGGGGTTTGGGGTTTAGGGTTCGGGTATGCACAGGTCAAGGGTACTTTCCCTCTTGGGTCAACAGACTTGCGACTAGCTAGTGCTGGAACGGTTGGGACCTGCAACTGATGGGAACACGTGCAACTACATGCGCGGCGGTCTTCTGCATTTTTGCACGTGCAGCAGGCTCTTATGGCACTGTGGACTGGGGCGTGTTCAGCGCGGAAACAGCATTGCTAAATTCAAAGTGCGGCAGGACACTGTTTATCCATACCGGGACGTCGGAAAGCTCGGTATCCCAAACCCTAAACCCTGAACCCTAAACCCTAAACCCGAAACCCGAAACTCTGAACCCCATCATCACGGCACGTCCGCAAGCCTAGCTGCCTCCAACCCTGGGCTTCACGCCCATGGAAGGGCGCTTGAGCTGCTCCCTGCAGTTCTTGAGGAACTGCCTGGCGTAGGCCTCGACAGTCAGAGGACCTTGTGCAGGGCGCCCGTCCCCGTCACAGACGGCCCACCGAGCGTAATCTTCAACCGAGCCGTCCTTTAGCAGCCCAGACTTCGCCAGGTCGCCCTCCTCGTCGCACTCCAGGATGTAGAGCACCAAAGCCCGGCGCAAGACGGAGGGAGGGTAGCGGAAGCCTGTGAGACCATTTCTGAACCCTGGCACGAAATCGGACAGCTCGGCCGGTTCTACTGTAATGGCAAGGGCGCTCGTGGTGAAGAGGTCGCGGACGGTGTGGAAGTGTTGAACATCGATGCCCTTGATGACGAAGAACTTCGTGGGGTAAAAGGCGGTGGTGACATGAAACATCAACCACGCCACGCTTTCACCACCTTTCAAATTCAGCTCCCTTATGGCTTTCACAAAGTTGGCGTCCAACGAAAGGGTCACGTCTCTCACAGATTTCGAGTTGTACTCCGTGTGACGCTCAAACTCTGTAAGGTCATTGACCCTAAGGCTGATCTGCTCCATCGCTCTACACAGGTCCGGGGCTTCACAACGAACTTGAAACGAAATCTTGCGCAAAGGTTGGGATTTTGAGTCTAGGGTTGGGGTTAGGTTTGGGGTTTAGGGTTGTTGTTCTAGGGTTTGGGGTAGATACAAGGGCCCTTATTGTGGAAGCCTTGCTTACCCCTTACATACTGAGGGACTAGGTGCTTGAGAGACAATGCAACTACCCTTAGACGCATGGGCCCTGATCCATGAGCAGCCCCTTGACAACCCTTGCGCACGGGATTACTTTTGAGGGTTCAGGGTTTAGGGTTTAGGGTCTAGGGTTTGGGGTTTAGGGTTTAGGGTTTAGGGTTTAGGGTTTAGGGTTTAGGGTTTAGGGTTTAGGGTTTAGGGTTTAGGGTTTAGGGTTTAGGGTTTAGGCTATGACCAAAGGCTCTATGTCGTGCTTGCTGCCATGCTGGCCGTGGCGCTTCTCATTTTCTCAGCCTTTTGGGTGTCAGGCAAGGGCTACAGCCCGAAACCCCAAACCCCTAAACCCCTAACTAAACCCCTAACTAAACCCCTAAACCCTACACCCTAAACCCCAAACCCTGCACCCTAGCGTTTGGAGTGATAAATCCTTGGCCGGTCTCCTGAAAGGCTCAGCCCAACCCAGCGCTTCAAGTCCCCCACCTCTAAAATGACCCCAAACACAGAAGATGGGGTTTAGGGTTTGGGGTTTAGGGTTTAGGGTTTAGGGTTTAGGGTTTAGGGTTTAGGGTCTAATGTGAGAGTCGCTTTTTTAATTAGAGTGGTAATAGTCAATATTCGCCGGGCCAGAGGGCCCCAGCCGAAGACTACTTTCCAATACGGGAGGTTTTCGGGCCGATGTATGTAAACAAGTCTATATAGGGGGGTCCCGTGATAATAATAATGGGGTGGTATTTGTAAAATTTTTCCGGCCAGGAATTGAAAATTTTACTGAAAATGGCTTAAGAGTTCCATTGCAGAGAAGACTTTTCAGCTGAGCTGGCTTGAAAGAGCTCCAAAGCTCAGTCGGCAGAGCAAAAGGAGCTGCAGAGAGCAAGCAGAAGCCTTCAAGACAAAGCAAAGCAGACCCTGACAGCTGACCCCCCCCGACCCCCAGACCCCAGACCCCCAGAATCCTCATAATTGACACCCCGCATTTTTTCCACCCCTCCAAACCCCGGGGACCAAAACAAGATTGGGGGGGGGGGGGTAATTAAAGGGACTCTAACATTAGGATTTAGGGTTTAGGGTTTAGGCCAACAAAATTGAAAAACATAAACATGTCAACCCCAAAACCAAGCCCCAGGAAAATCCCTTAAAACCCGCAAGCCCCTGAGCCCGAAACCCTAAACACTAAACCCTAAACCCCCCAACCCCGAACACCCCTGCCCCGAAAAACCCTAAAGTCCTAAAGCCTCTGAAGCCCCTGAGTCTAAACCCTCAGCCCGAAACCCTAAACCCTAAACCCTAAAAGCCCCTTCCGACAGCCCCGTGAGCCAAACCCGAAAGTTTTTGAAGCACCGAGAGCCGCTAACTCTCTCCAATGGCCCCCGAAACCCCGACCCTAAATCCTAAACCCTAAACCCCAACCCTAAACCCCAACCCTAAACCCCTTAACCCTAACCCCAAACCCTAAACCCCTAAACCCCAAACCCCAAACCCTAAACCCCAAACCCTAAACCCCAAACCCTGAACCCCAAACCCTGAACCCCAAACCCTAAACACTAAACCCCAAACCCTAAACCTTAAACCCCTACAAGAGCCCCTAGAAAAAGCCCCCAAACCGGCTGCCTCTCTGAGGAGCCACGCCGGCGCCCTGCCGCATGGTCTTCTTAGGGTTTGAAGGGCTTAAGGGCTTTTGGGGTTTAGGGTTTAGGGTTTAGGGTTTGGGGTTTAGGGTTTAGGGTTTTGGCGGTTTAGGGTTTAGGGTTTAGGGTTTAGGGTTTGGGGTTTAGGGTTTTGGGTGTTTATATAGACTATAGGGGGTTTAGCGGGGTTTAGGCGGGTTAGGGGATTTAGGGGGTTTAGGGGGGTTTAGGGGGTTTAGGGGGGTTTATAGCGTTTACAGGGTTTTAGAGGGCATTAGAGGGTGCTTTTAGGGTTTGGGGTTTAGGGTATAGGGCTTGGGGCTTAGGGTTTACTCGGTTTGGGTTTCAGGGCTTCAGGGTTTAGGGTTGAGGGCTTTAGGGCTTAAAGGGTTTCAGGGTTTAAGGGTCTGTGGGCTTTCAAGGTGCGAGGGGGTTTCGGATGAGTGCGGAAGAGTTGAGGGCTTTGAGGGCTTCGGAGTGAGCGCCAGGTAGACGTTCTCCCGACCCCAAAACCTCTAAACCCTAAACCCCTAAGCCTAGAGCCTGCCCTACACCCTGCAAACAACGATCCTCACACACCAAACCAAATCCTAAATGAAAACAAGTCAAAAGAAAAGTTTCCAGACCTGTGAAACCACCAAACCTCGAAGGTCTGTTTGGGGGCGCGCCTCGATGGCCGCTCCTGACCCGCGAGAAGAGGCTGAGGAACTAGTCTTTATGGAGGGTTTCGGGTTTAGAGTTTAAGGTTTGGGGAAAGCCCTTCTTTGCCCTTCCCTTCTAAAAACCCCCAGGCCCAATTCAGGATCCTGTCAAACGTAAGGGCCCTGTTTAACGGGTGTTTATGTATACATGCATACATACATACATGCATACATGCATACATACATATATATATATGTATGTATATATATATATATACAGGTCTAGGATGGCAGGGCTCTGAATCAAAAAGAGGTGGGAGCTTTCGGATGTTCGGGGTTTTGGGTTTGGAGGTCTGTGGTTCGAAGCCCGAACTCAAAACCACCAAAAAGTGGCCGAAAACCCTAAACCCTAGACCCCAAACCCTAAACCCTAAACCCCGAACCCTAAACCCCGAACCCCAACCCCTCCTGACCCCTGACCCTCCGAGACAGCAAGGCTAGCCACTTTGTGGGTAAAGTCCTACGTCCAAAGCCTAAACCTTAAACCCTTAAAGGGTTTAGGGCTTAGGGTTTAGAATTTAGGGTTTAGGGTTTAGGGTTTAGGGGGTTTAGGGAGAGTGCATATCCTCAAGCATAAAACAAGAGAGGTAACATTGGATTTGGGCGCGGGACCCTAAACACTCAATTCTACGCCTATCCAAGTGTCCAGTCTCTGCGTTCGTTTATGATCATTTACTGGGCTGCCGCTCAGCCGAACTTAAACCAAGCTACCAGAGTATGCATCTAGAGTAAGCAGTATGGTTCCCTTTCGATGGTAACTTAAGTTGCTTAAGTTAAGTTCCTTAACAGGGGCCCAGCCTGGGATACTCTAACTTGGCGGCACTTAGGAAGTCAGCAGGCAAAGTATCTAAGGTTGCGCCGAGCCAAAAAAACCTCAAAGATTTGCAATCAGCCCCCATCTGCCCTACAAAACCCGAAACAAAAAACCTCCGAACCCTGCTAAACCCTATCAAAAACCCTATAAAGCCCATAAAAAAACCGGACAAAAACCCCATGAAGCACCCCATCCACTCTACGAACCCTATAAACCCTGCGAGCTATGTAAGCCCTACTTAAGCAAGCAAGCGTTACCAACCCCTGCACCCTCCGGAACGCCCATCAAAAAGCCCAACAAAAGCCCTCCACGACCTTCCAGGACCCCGAACCCGAAATCGGACACCCCAAAATAAAAAGAAGAAAACCTAAACCCCAAACCTAAATCCTAAGCCCCAAACCCCTAACCCTAAACCCTAAGCCCCAAACAAGAAACCCTAAACCCTAGGGTAGGGGGGCTCAAGATTCCCCCTCTAAGGCCGAACAGGAACCCTTGCTTGCGAGTCGGGCTCCAGCAAGCCCATGCAAATCCCTATATAAGCCTGAGGGGGTGTGGGGTTTAGGGTTTAGGGTTTGGGGTTTAGGGTTTAGGGTTTGGGGTTTGGGGTTTGGGGTTTGGGGTTTCGGGTTGAGGGTTTGGGGTCTAGAACCCTAACCCCTACTGCGCGACGATTAGGAGAGATTCGGGCCCATACAACGTTTAAGGCCCTTGAGATCCCTCGCGGCACGTTTTGCGAGCGCGGCGGCCGCGGTCGACCAGGGGCTTGGGGGCTCACAAGAGGTTCTTGACGAGCGCGCCTTGCCCCAGGTCCCTCCTCCCAACACAAACACCCCGAAGACCAGGGGCCCTGTTCAACCACAGCGGCTAAGTTTTTGGTGGCTCTAGGCAAGCTGTGCCTTGGGGCACAATAGCGCTAGGGGTGCGAGAGTAGCGCTCTCCATCTCTCTCTAGAAGGGCCCCGACATGGGGGGCTGCATGGTGCTTTTTTGAAGATCTCAAAATACAGGTTACACACACTGCTAATCATATGTACATGGGTTTGTGTTTAGCTCCCAGACTAAGCCCTGAACTTGATGCCCTGCCACTGGGGCCCCACGAGCCTCGTAAACCACGCCGGGCCTATAAACAGAAAGTCCCGAAACCTGGGTTTAGGGTTTGGGGTTTGGGGTCTAGGGTTTAGGGTTTAGGGTTGAGGGTTGAGGGTTGAGGGTTGAGGGTTGAGGGTTGAGGGTTGAGGGTTGAGGGTTGAGGGTTGAGGGTTGAGGGTTGAGGGTTGAGGGCGCAGACCAAAGCCCCTGAACCCTTCAACCCGAGACCCATTAAACACCCCCAACCCTTCAACCACCCGACTGATCAAGGATCGTCCATGGGTTTAAGGCTAATTGCCCCCGAAAACTCTTGAACCCCAAGCCCTGGAACTCTTAAGCCCTAGATCCTTAAACCCTTCAAGCCCCCAAACCTCTGAACCCAACATTCCAAAACCTCAAATCCTAACTCACCCAGAGTCGTGTCTATAAGGACCCAAAACCCTGAACTCTCAGCCCTAAACCCTAGACCCTAACATCTCAACCCTAAACCCTAAACCCTAACATCTCAACCCTGAACCTTAAACCCTAACATCTCAACCCTAAACCCTAAACCTGTCTTCGGGGGTCTCAGGGGAGGGGGGAAATCACGGGCTTCCCCAACCCCCCCCCCTCCTGTACTGTACTACCCCCTCCCCCCGGCTTAATACTACCCCCTTCCCCCCTTAAAGAACCTCAATTAGGCTCGATGATCTCTAAAGATGCCGCAAATCATGGCGAGAACCTGGGGGCGGGGTAGTATAGCGAGGGGCAGTAGGGAAACACACGAGGACAGGATCCACCTGGGAACTGTCTCCGGACCGGAGGCGACGGCCTCTTCCAGGTAGACGCCTTTCGAAGCGGATGAGACCTCTAAACCGTAAGCCACAAATCCTAAAAAACCCCTCAAGACCCAAAAACACCCTAAACAAACCCTTTAAAGACCTAAAAACCCTTAACACCTTAAAAACCCCTAAAACCCTAAAACCCCAAAACTCTACACCCTAAACCCTAAACCCTACACCTGCCCTCTAGGGTGCCTTTGGGCGCACCCTTTCCGGCTGATAGGTTTAGGGTTTACGGTTTACGGTTTAGGGTTTAGGGTTTAGGGTTTAGGGATAGACGAGGGTGGACGACGGGTTTGCGGCTTTCGGGGGCGCGCTCAACCGCTGCGTTCCGCTCCCAAAGTGGAGGAAGTTTAGGGCGTTTAGGAGTGTTAGGAGTTTAGGGGTTTAGGGGTTTAGGGGTTTAGGGGTTTAGGGGTTTAGGGGTTTAGGGGTTTAGGGAGTCATTAGGTTTTAGGGGTCGGCGTGGGGGGGGGGGTGGGTGGAGGGTGGCCTCATAAAATTTTGGATTTGCAATCGAAGCGGCTGACCGGTGCGCAGAGGTGGCCTGATGCTGACATGTCACGTTGCAGGCGCGCGGCTTTTGTCTTAGCACAGGCGGACCGCCAGAGATAGAGTCGCTTCCAAGCCTCTTTTCTTTGGGCTGGAGCCGTTTCAGAAAATTCTGCAGAGGGCCTGCAGTTTCTAGGCAGGTCTTACAGTCGTCGGAATATTCTCCGACGCACGCGCGCCGGTCCGCTTCCTGGCCGTGAAGTCGGACCGTGATCTCCGTACCCAGCGGCTTGCCGGGCCGGATCACCAAAATTGGCCGTTCACTCACCTTGAACAGCAGATGCACACGAAGGTGCTCATAGACCACGGGGTCCAGGCCATTGGTCCTTCGAAATCCAGAAGCTGATGCTTCGATAAATTTCAGTTCTCGGGAGCAGAAGTTGGCTGAGGACATAGCTCGAAGCTGAAGGCTTGGACGACGCTGTTCGCCGTCCGATTCTCAGACTTCTTGGCTTTCTTCATCTGGTTCTTGGACACCTAAAGGAAGTTCAGGGTAAATTACGAAGCAAGAAGAAGTACTGCAAGTGGCCTTCGCGGCCACTGTGGGAGAAGAAGGCTGGATCACGATCAAAAGTAGTTCGAGCCAGCGATTCTGCGAGGACTGACAATTGAATTACATTGAATTACGTTCGACATGCGAGGGTGCGTGGGAGCTTCTATGGATCTCATTAGAGCCTTCATAGCGGGCGCCAGCCGCCGAGTAGGTATACTTGGCTCTCAGATTAGAGGCCGGGCCAAACTTCAAAAGCATTCAGAGATTATCAACAAAAAAACACCAAAGCCGTCTGACAGCAAATCTAGATGCCCTCGGACCTGGCTCGGACGGAGGAACGCGCGGAGGAACACGGTCGGGTAGATCTCGAAGAGCCTCTGCGTGCCGTCGTCGGGCTCCGCCTCTTCGCTGCGCGACCACTGCGACCCTCGTTGCGGTGATCGCTGGCTGTCGGGCCCGGATTGCGAATCTCGTCATCCCGACGTTTTTCCACAATCTTCTCAGCCGACAGCACACGGGCGTTCCACGGCCTCACCCCTTTCTCCCATTCCAGGCACGCAATGTGCTTGAGGCTGTACTTTTCGTGCTGGTCTTTCGCCGACGCGTAGGAAGCCACACGTTGCTTGCAGACCTTGCACTCCACCTTGCGTCCACGGCCTTGCTCCTGGAAGGGAAAACTTTTGCGACACAAATCGCCACACAACCCCGCCACCGCGTCCTTGCTCTCCGAGCGCTCACGTTTCGTAGGCACCGCAGACATGGCGCAATACACCTGCATGTGTCACAGCTCTCGCACTTCTATAGGCCATGACCTACCATCACGATTTTACGCGTTCATGCTGCCCTGCCTCGGTGACGCTGACGGCTTTACACACCTCTCTGTGCGAAACTTGACGACCAAGGCGGGCTGCGCAGGGGACTCCGCCGCTTGCCACACACGTCTCTTCCCGACTCACAACATCTGGATGATAGAAGCCCGCCAACCGCATGCGAGTCCGTACACCACGCCACGAACCAAGACGACGTTGGGAATCAGCCACTTGCCACACACGTCTCTCCCCGCCTCACCCATGCGCGCAGATCCCATCTCTTCATGGTTCCCTTGGGTTTCGTGTACCACGTGTCGCCTCAATGGACAACTCGACTTAACCGCAGACTACTCTTGAAAGTAGCAAAGGAAACGCATGCAAAGTCTGCACTTTTTCAAGAACCGTCACGGGCTGGTAAAGTCTCTCTCACGCGGAAGCCGATCGTGCGTGGCTCAAGCCTTGGCTATTGACGGCTTTGATTCTTCTTTGGTGACCGATACATTTTTGCCAAGATACCACGTGTTTCCGCAGCAAATCTATAGTCCGCTGGGTAGAGCCTGATGAAGTCCTGCCCTAAACGAGATATTATGAACTCTCTGCAACCTCACACATCGTCGACGTCCTGTGGTGATTGCAACAACCCCAGGTCTGAACAGATCCGTCTCCCAGAATTGCAGCAAACTCAAAGCTGTTGCTTCTTGAAACTGCCACGTTGTTGATTTGAATCTTCAGCGTATCCCCGTGTTGCAACCCAGATTGTTGAAGGGCGACCGTATCATCCAGGATCTCGCCGCAGTGCTGCGCAAGGTCAGCTAACAAATAAAACACAGATTCAAAGCACTATCGGACCTGCTGGAGCTTTTGCTACGGTGCAAGATCAGCTTGGAAAATTCACAATGATATCACATATAATTTCTATTTATTTTGTCTTGAGGGTTTAGGGTTTAGGGTTTAGGGTGTAGGGTTTAGGGCTCAGCTGCGATAGGGCGTAGATGCTGTGAAGGTTAGGTTTCGGAACAAGCTCGAAAGCTTCGTGAGGTGCGAAGAGCCACCCAAACCTATTCCTTTTAGGGTTTAGGCCTAAACTCAGACAACAGCCCACTTCTAAAAACTTATTCAGTTTCATGACGCTCGTTGGGTCCGAGAGTCAAAGGAATCGGGAGGCAGTTTCAGGGAGGGTTGCAAGGTCTCGTCGTCGGGCCAGGCACCCCACATGCCTCGCTGTGGGTAGTCAGGGCGCGGAGGGTCAGGAGGGTCAGAGGTCAAAGGCTTAAGCGCCGCCCCCCGACGTAGGGGGGCGGCCTAAGCCCTGAGTTTAGGGTGTAGGGTTTAGGGTTTAGGGTTTAGGGTTCAGGGTTGAGGGTTGAGGGTTTAGGGTTGAGGGTTGAGGGTTTAGGGTTTTGGGTTTAGGGTTTAGTCCTCATCCTCTGAATCCCTGAGGCCCTAAACCCCAATTCTTACTTGGAGGTTTAGGGTACTTATTAACCAAGTATAACTGTACTTATAACCCACTCATAAGCACCTTAAGTGCCCTAATGCGGTTACAATTTGGGTTCTAAGTACAGTTACAAATCTTAAAATTGGTTCATAAGTACCATGAAGCTTCAAGTAATCCCCAAAACCCCAAAACCTAACCCCTCACCCTGCACTCCAAGGCAGGGTTGAGCAAACCCTAAACCCCAAACCCTGAACCCTAGCCCTAAACCCTAAACCCTAAACCCCAAACCCCAAAACCCTAAAACGCGAAAGACCCAAAACTCCACAACCCTAAACCTATACAAACCCTACACCCGATGCCTAAAATCCGCAGCCCCAAAGAGGGGTCCCCAGGGGTTTGGGGTTTGGGGCTTGGGAAATACTAAGCCCTAAATCCTAAACCTATATAAAACCCGAAGCCTAGAAACTTTGAACCCCAAAGACGGGTCTCCACGTGGTGCGAAAATGAACCCTAAACCCTAAACCCTAGAACCCTACACCCTAAACCCTACACCCGAAACCCTAAACCCTAAAACCCTAAACCCTAAACCCTAACCCCCCGTTTAGGGGTTAGGGTTTAGGGCGTAGCGTTTTCCGTGCAAACGCGCCTTGCTTAGATCCACTCCTGGTAGAAGCCGGCGCTTCCTGGACCGGGACCCGGGAGTTTAGGGTTTAGGGTTTGGGGTTTGGGGTTTAGGGTTTGGGAGGATAGGGTTTGGGGTTTAGGGTTTAGGGTGTAGGGTTGAGGGTTGAGGGTTGAGGGTTGAGGGTTGAGGGTTGAGGGTTTATTCAGGGCTTGGGGTTCTGGAGTTTGGGGCTTCAGGGTGCAGAGTTCGGGCTTTTGCAGTTTAGGGCTTGGAGTTGAGGGTTTGGGAGTTTAGGGTTTAGGGTTTAGGGTTTAGGGTTTAGGGTTTGGGGTTTGGGGTTTAGGGTTTAGGGTTTAGGGTTGGGAGTTTAGGGTTTTGGAGGTTAGGGCTTGGAGTTCAGGGTTTACGGTTTACCCTTGGGGCTAAGGTTCTCCCTCCGCCCCCCCGCCATACCCAAAAGTCTTCGATGACCAAGATAGCCCCGTCTGCTCTCCCCCAAAAGGATGTAGCAAGGATTCTATCATGATAGCCCTAAACCCTAAACCCTAAATCCTAAGCCCTAAACCTTGAACAACTACCATCTAATGCCCCTCTCTGTTCCATCGAGGATCCATGGTAGGGCGTCTTGCCCTTGCTCACTCGCTCGTATTTGCTGTACTCGGACGAGAAGACGAACGTGTCCTGTCCGAGGTGCAGACTGCTTGAGTTCAGGGTTTAGGGGTTTAGGGTTTAGGATTTAGGGTGCAGGCTTTTGGGTTTCGGGTTTGGGCTTCAAGGTTTCGGGCTTCGTTTTCTATGGGGGGGGAGGTGGAGGGAAGCGCGCTGTCCCGCGGGAAAGCGCGCAGCTCGGACGGGAGATTCTGGAACAGATCGCCTTGGCGCGGGCGAGATGGGGTGAACCTACTACCTTACAGTCCTCAAAAAACCAGAAAAGTCCAAAACCCAACCCTAAACCCTAAACCCTAAAACCTACACCCCAAACCCTAAACCCTAAACCCTAAACCCTAAACCCTAAACCCTAGACCCTGCAAAGGGTAGTATATCCCCTGCGCGAAGGTCGAAGAGTCCGAGCCCCAATGGATCCCAAAAGCCCCCAGATAGCACCAAATCCACTCACTTAAAGCCCCGTAGGACTACTCCTGAATCCTGAAGGTTCTAGGGTTCTAGGGTTCTAGGGTTCTAGGGTTCCAGGGCTCTAGGGTTCTAGGGTTCTAGGGTTCTAGGGTTCTAGGGTTCTAGGGTTCTAGGGTTCTAGGATTTTAGGGTGGGGTTCTGGGGTTCTAGGGTTGCGGGGGCTTGAGGTCTAGGGTTTAGGGTTTGGGGTGTAGGGTGCAGGGTTTAGAGGGCTTAGGGTTGTGGCTTGGCAGAGCTGCCGTAGATCTGAAGCGACACGCAGCCCAAGCGCCTGTCCTTCGCGTCGGCAAGGGGGTCTTCTGAGCTACAAGGCATCAACTGTGGAGCTTAAGATTGCAACCCCAAGCCCTAAACCCTAAACCCTCAACCCTAAACCCTAAACCCTAAACCCCAAACGCCCTAAGCAACCCTAAGCAACCCTAAGCAACCCTAAGCAACCCTAAGCAACCCGAAACCCTAACTCCACCATCCATCCCTCCGTCCCAGAACCCCTGAAGCCCAAAAAGCCCCCTAACCCTGAACCCTGAACCCTACACACCCTAAACCCAAAACCCTACACAACCCAAAACCCCAAAACCCAGAACCCTAACCTCCAAAAACGCCAACACAAAAATAGACAAAGCCTGCAGCACTATATATATATATATATATATATGCAATCCCTTAAAGGGCATAAATAGGCCCTTAATAATTCCTAAACCCTAAACCCCAAAAACAATAAACCCTAAACCCTAAACCCGAAACGAAGCCTGCAGCGTGGTGCTCAACCGCAGCATGCGGAAGGCGCCCTGGCGGTGGCTGGCCACCGGCAGGTCCACCAGGAAGGTGCTGTTGGCGGCCTAGGGAAGAAGAGGGTTTGGGGTTAGGGTTTGAGGGTTTAGGGTTTTGGGGTTTGGGGTTTAGGGTTTGGGGTTTGGGGTTTAGGATTTGGGGTTTAGGGTTTGGGGTTTAGGGTTTGGGGTTCAGGGTTTTGGGTTAGGGCTTGAAGTTTAAGTTTCCTTTGCGATGCTACGCAAGGCATCCGCCGTGCTCCGGGCCGTCTACTGACTGAGTGCTTCGAGAAGTGAGCGCCCACTCACATGCCCTCGAAACCCCCAATAAGATAATGACTCGAGACGCTCTGACCATTCGCACGCGCTGGTAACACGGACGCTATCATCGCGCGTGTTGTTGTGGAGCCGTTTCAAATCTTCCAAAGACAGGGAACATGACCTGAAACGCTGCATGTACTTGGAAAGATCCGGTAGCAGTCAGAAGCATGAAATGCCGAAAACAAAAGTACTTTCGCATGCCGACATTCATTGGCGGCCTGAAAGAGGCCTGAAAAGCTGCCGTGAAACCCTAAACCCTAGACCCTAAACCCTAAGCCCTAAACCCCAAGCCCTAAACCCTAAACCCCAGAAACCCAAAAGAGCCCGTAAGCTCTGCATTCAGGGACCTTCGCGACCCTCTTAGGAGCCATGGGGGGTTTAGGATGGATGTACAGCCTAGTCTCAGGTTTAGGATTTCGGGTCTGGGGTTCAGGGTTCAGGGTTTTGGGGTTTGGGGTTTAGGGTTTAGGGTTTTGGGGTTTGGGGTTTGGGGTTTGGGGTTTAGGGTTTAGGGTTCAGGACTGTGGGTTCAGCAGCTCCAGATTGAGAGTGTTATAGTAGAGTTACATTTACAGCCCCACCAATCCCAAAGCATTGAGAAAATACAAAGTATTACTCCAATCACACACACAAAACTACAGATTCAAGTTGCGCATAGCTCATACCCTGTCGTTTAAGCTGCACCTTTCAAATCTAAGTCAACTCTCAGGACAAGGCCCTCCCCACCCTTGTACAACACTCGACGGATTGCCTTGCTCACCACCTTGCCTTGAACCACGCAGAAAAGGTTCAAGGCCGAAAACTGGCCTTGAACCACGGTTCAAAGCCAAAAACTCGTGGCTCAAGGCCAAAGCATTGCCTTGAACCACGAAGGATTGGCCTTGGACCACACCAAATATTCGGGGTTCAAGCCCCAAAAAAGCGACAGTTGGCCTTGAACCACGATAAATTGGCCTTGCGAAGTCCTTAAAATCTAGCTATTTTAATATCTGGTAGAGAGGGTTTAGGGTTTAGGGGGTTTAGGGGGTTTAGGGGGTTTAGGGGGTTTAGGGGGTTTAGGGGGTTTAGGGGGTTTAGGGGGTTTAGGGGGTTTAGGGGGTTTAGGGGGTTTAGAGGGTTTAGGGTTTAGGGTTTAGGGGGTTTAGGGAGTTTAGTTGGTTTGGGGGGTTTTGAAGGTTTCGGGTTCAGGGTCTGGGTTAATGGCTTCACTGCAACCCTCGAAGCCCTACAAGGCAATACCCGGAAGCCCGAAACCCGAAACCGTATGCTGCACACCCTAAACCCTAAACCCTAAACCCTAAACCCTAAACCCTAAACCCTGAACCCTAAACCCTAAACCCTAAACCCTAAACCCTAACCCTAAAGAGTAAACCCTAAACCCTAAACCCTGCTCAACACTCAAGGCTTGCTCAAACTCTTGCCTTCGCGAACTCTCATGCTGCAAGCAAGCATCGGACTCTCTTCCGCGGATCCGGAAGACTGAGTTGCAAATCATGGGGTTTAGGGTTGAGGGTTGAGGGTTTAGGGTTTAGGGTTCAGGGTTTAGGGTTTAGGGCTTAGGGCTTAGGGTTTAGGGTTTAGGGCTTAGGGTTTAGGGCATACGCTCTATTGGGCCCGCCTGCATGTTAAGTACAGGTGAAACCTGAAATGGGGGGAAGAACCCCGTGTGCAGAGATGCGTAATAAGAAAACTTGTTATAGTACCCCCCCCCCCCCAAAAAAAAAAAGAAAAACAGCTCTTGGAGTTCCCATTTAGGGTTTAGAACTGTAGTGGCGTGATTGGGGTTGGGGGGTACCGTAGCCATGCAAAGGGAGGCAAGCATCAACGTCATCAACATCGCACTGCCTACCCGAAACCCTAAACCCTAAACCCTAAACCCTAAACCCTAAACCCTAAACCCTAAACCCTACATCGACAGGATGACTGGGTGTAAAAGTCAGTCCCAGGAGCTCGCGGAGGCCAAGAGCTGCGGTGGCTCCTGAAAGGGCCCAGGAGTGCCATTGGGGGCACGCTAGGGTGTGGGGTTTAGGGTTTAGGGTTTAGGGTTTAGGGTTTAGGGTTTAGGGTTTAGGGTTTAGGGTCTAGAGTTTAGGGTTTAGGGTTTAGGGTTTGGGGCTTGGGGTTTGAAATTTAGGGTTTGGGGGTTTCGGGTTTTGAGAAGGGTTTAGGGTTTAGGGTTTTCGGTTTTAGGGTTTTAGGGCTTTAGGGTTTAGGGTTGAGGGCCATGGGGAACTTTAGGTTTGGGGGTTCAGGGTTTCAGGGCTTTTTTGCGGTTTGGGGGCCTTGGGGGTGTAGGGATTGCTGGGGGGGGGAGGGGGGGGGGGATTTTGGGGTGGAGGATTTTGGGGGTTGGGGGGTTTAGGGCTTTTTTGGGGTGTAGGATTTAGGGGTTTTTGGGGTTAAGGTGGGGGTTTACGATTGAAGGGGTTAGGTTTTTATGCAGTGGCTAGGGATTAGGGATTAGGGTTTAGGGGCCACGTGACATGTAGTAGCGGAGTCTGCGTCAGGGTTCCCCGAATAACTAGGTTGACTTAAAGGGGGAAGCGTTACTGGGGTTTAGGGTTTAGTTACCCAAGCGGCTCTAACGAAAATTCACCCGAAACCCTAAACCCTAAAACCCGCAGGTTAGGCGACGTCTGTGGGGGAAGCAGCACTCTTAGACGACGACTTCCAAAGCCCTAAGCCCCTTCAAAACACCACCGAACCCCCGCAAGCTTTCAAACCTACCCCCCCTCCCAATCCCCCTCCATGTCTCTTCCCACCCTGTGCCCGCCCTCTCCCCGTCTCTCCTAAGCCCTCACCCCTTTGAAGACTCGTAACAAAATAAGTCCCACGACCAAACCCTAAACCCCAAACACTAGTCCACAAACCCCCCAAACCAACCCCAAAACCCCAAAACCCCCAAACCGAAACCCAAACCGAATCCACCGAGGTCCTGGAACTCGGACACCGCATCCAAGCGAATGTCTAGGATGAAGGCATCCTGATCTTTTGCTTGGGGTTTCGGGTTTCGGGGGGTTTAGGGTTTGGGTTTCTGGGTTTAGGGTTTAGGGTTTAGGGTTTAGGGTTTCGGGTTTAGGGTTTAGGGGTTTCGGGACTTCGGGGTTTCGGGACTTAGGGGTTCAGCGGCTCAGGGGTTACGGGTTTGGGGTTCAGTGCTTAGGACGGTTTAGGGTGGGGGGGGTGGCCGCAGGTTTCGTGCCTTGAAACGGGTCTAGGGTGAAGAGGGCTCTCCTCAGACGCGCCCGAGCCCTAGACAATCACTAAGACCCCCCCCCCCCCCTAGGGTTTAGGGTCTAGGGTTTAGGGTTTAGGGTTTAGGGTTTAGGGTTTAGGGTTTAGGGTTTAGGGTTTAGGGTTTAGGGTTTAGGGGTAGGGTTTAGGGTTTAGGGTTTAGGGTTTAGGGTTTAGGGTTTAGGGTTTAGGGTTTAGGGTTTAGGGTTTAGGGTTTAGGGTTTAGGGTTTAGGGTTTAGGGTTTAGGGTTTAGGGTTTAGGGTTTAGGGTTTAGGGTTTAGGGTTTAGGGTTTAGGGAGTGTGAGCCAGGTCTCAGTGGTGGGAAGCAGGTCGGGCACCAGCAGGGTCATCTTGAGACCTGGCGAGGGCATCCGTTTGCGGGGTTTTTTGCTGAGGTGTTTCACCTAAACCCTAAACCCTAAACCCTAAACCCTAAACCCTAAACCCTAAACCCTAAACCATAAGGGGCCCCAGCTGGACGCTACAGCTTGTTCAACTAAGCTGCTGACAAGGGGGAAGGGGGGGCTCGTACCAAGTGCGAGAGACTTGCTCACAAAACGCCAGGGGATGCTCCACGAACGAGCCTCTATGTGCATTTTTCAGTCTGCGTCCTCGCCAGATGCATCTGTTGAGCAGCGCTCGTGCTGACGCATGCTGCAGAACTTTTAAGCCGTTCTGTTGTGTTGGTGGTGCCGGTTTGCTCGGCGGGGCAATGGGAAAAATGAGCCCGAAGAGGCCTAGAGCAGGTTGATCCTTAAACAGTTGCAACCTGTGGCAGCTTACGCCTTGGCATCCTCCTTAGCCATGTGCTTGATCAGGTCCACGACGCGGCAGGAGTAGCCCCACTCGTTGTCATACCTGAGATGGGTTAAGGGCCCTCCAACGCAGTTGCTCTTTGGGTGTTAGTACCGTCATGTAGGGATTATGTAGGGTACCCAGAGAACTTCAAAAATGAACTCCAAATTCCAAATCTGCCCGAGATTCCAGCAGACCACCTTGACGAAGGTGGGGTCCAGCATGATGCCAGCCTTGGAGTCGAAAGTGCAAGAGATCGGGTTGGTCTCGAAGTCTGTGGACACCAGGGCCTCGTCGGTGTAGCCCAGGTAGCCCTTCATGTCGCCCTCGGAACGCTTCTTCATCTCTGCGCAGATCTCCTCGTAGGTGGTCTCCTTCTCCAGCTCGCATGTGAGGTCCACCACGGACACGTCGATGGTCGGCACGCGCAAGGCCATGCCGGTAAGCTTGCCCTTCACAGCCGGAAGGACCTTTGCCACTGCCTTCGCGGCACCGGTGGAGCTGGGAATGATGTTGCCCGGGCCGGCACGTCCGCCACGCCAGTCCTTCTTGGAGGTGCCATCCACGGTGGGCTGGGAGGCGGTCATGGCGTGGCAGGTGGTCATGAGGCCGCGCTTGATGCCGAACTTCTCTTGCAGGACGCGGACGGCTGGGGCCAGGCCGTTGGTGGTGCAGGAGGCACAGGACACGCACTCCATGGACGGATCATAGGTGTCCTCGTTCACTCCCATGACAATGGTGTGCGAGTCGTCCTTGGCAGGAGCGGAGAAGATCACCTTCTTGGCACCAGCCTTCAAGTGGGGCTGCACCTTGTCAGTGGTCAGGAACACGCCCGTCGACTCGCACACGTACTCAGCACCGTGCTCCTTGAAGGGAATCTCTGCAGGGTCTCGGGTGTGGGACAGCGCCACGGTCTGTCCATCAATGACCAGGGAGTCGCCATCGACCTCGACAGTTCCATCATACTTGCCATGAATCGTATCGTACTTCATCATGTAGGCCAAGTAGTCGGCGTCATAGCTGGCATTAATCAACTTCAGGTCGGTCTCCGGATCCTTCATGGCGATGCGGGCCACCTGGCGACCGATGCGGCCGAAGCCGTTGATGCCGACGCCCACAGCCTGGAGAGAGGTGCGTCCCTTGCTGGCGCGCTTGCCAGCCACTCCTGCGGCGGCCAGGCCAGCCACGGCACCGAGGCCGGCCATGGCGCCAACGCCGGAAGACTGCGAAGAGCCATAGCCCGCCGCACGGAGGTTGGTCCTCTGCGTCTGGGGCTCGGTGTGCTGGACCTGGCCCGCAGGCGCCACGAAGGCACCGCTCAAGGCGCCCGCTGCCGCGAAGGCGCCGACGCCGGCCATGGCAACATTGGTGGCCGTGGAAGGCATGGTGCCGTCCTTTGATCAGATGAGCGGAGGAGCGTGTGCCTGGTGTCAACGAGCTTCTTGAGCACCAGCAGTTGTGACAACGCGAGTGGTGAATCGCCATGCACCCCCTGAACTCCTGATAAATCCTTATAAGTCATGATAAGACCCGATACAACCTTTTTCGGCCTTCACATTGCCCCCTCAACAAATCCCGAAGCTTCGCCACCAAGCCCTCGAAACCCTGAGCCCTAAGCCCTGAGCCGCTAAGCCCTAAACCCTAACACCCTTTGACCACAAGCTCCAAACCCTTACCCGCCTGTGGGCCACACAGCGCGTGATGCCCCCAGATCCACAAGGATCCTTGTCTGAGGGGCCGCAAACCACTGGCCGTCGCCTGTGAGGCAGAAGAAAAAAGGCTTAGGGTCTAGGGTTGAGGGCTTATAGGGTTTTTGGTTTAGGCTTTGGGGTTGAGGGTTTTGGATTCAAGGTTTTGGATTTAGGGTCTAGGGTTTACAGGGCTTAGGGTTTAGGGTTTCTAGAGCCAAGGTTTAGGGTTCAAAGGCTTTTTGGGGCATCTGGGCACCTGGGGGTTGAGGGGTTTATGGGCCTTATAACTTGGGAGCGGCTGCAAGCACCTTTGAAACTGCTCAATCCTCCTTTCTTTCCCCAGAAACCATCAAGCCCTGATAGGTTTTGAATACAACCCCCCCCCCTTCTACAGCCTGATCCAAACCCTTCTGCACCTTCTTTCACACACCCTCAGACTCCCCCTAAACCCTAAACCCTAAACCCTAAATGCTAAGGCCCGCCTTCCCCTGGTACGTCCCAACATCGGGCTTCGCCCATCGGCACGAACCCGCCTTGCCTGGGGGACGATCCCAGGCGGCTTAGGGTTTCGGGTCTATAGGGTTTAGGGTGTAGGGTTTAGGGTTTAGGGTCAAGAGGGTTTAGGGTTTAGGGCTCAGGGTTCAGGGTTTCGGGCCTCTCAAGGGCTATAGTTGTAAGGTTTTTTTTAGGGTTGAGAGGGTTTGCAAGGGCGCAGAAGCTGTTGGGGGCTTAGGATGGTGGAGGGCTTCGGGCTCAGGATTTGAATTTAAGGGGCTTCGGGATTAGGGTTTGTAGAAGGGCTTAGGGCTCAGGGCTCAGGGCTCAGGGCTCAGGGCTCAGGGCTTAGGGCTTAGGGCTTAGGGCTTAGGGCTTAGGGCTTAGGGCTTAGGGCTTAGGGCTTAGGGCTTAGGGCTTAGGGCTTAGGGCTTAGGGCTTAGGGCTTAAGGCTTAGGGCTTAGGGCTTAGGGCTTAGGGCTTAGGGCTTAGGGCTTAGGGCTTAAGGCTTAGGGCTGAGGGCTTAGGGCTTAGGGCTTAGGGCTGAGGGCTTAGGGCTTAGGGCTTAGGGCTTAGGGCTTAGGGCTTAGGGCTTAGGGCTTAGGGCTTAGGGCTTAGGGCGTAGGGTTTGGTTCAGGGCTTAGGGCTGGCTTAAGGTGTAAGCCCTAAATCCATTCTTTAACTTATCAACCCTTAGACCACATGAGTCATAAGTCAACCCCTTAACTTCTAAACCCCTGCCTTAGCTAGACAACCCTTGCAAAACCCTAAACCCTAAACCCGCTCGCCTACCCCGCTTTGCGTTTTGTGTCCGGCCTTGGGACCCCCCTGGTCCGGTGACTGTCCCGTGGGTTTGTGTTCACGCCACTGCGAGGCACCTGGGAGGCTCCTGGGGATGTTTCTGGGCGCCCACCAAGCCCCACAGGTTGTTTGCAAAATGGGGGCCAAAATGGCCCCTTTGTTTCTGCAAGATGTCGGCGGAAGTGCGATCCAAGTGCCTCAAGTGGCCAAGTGACCCAATTGCCCCAAGAGACTTGGCCCAAGCGTCCCAAGTGATCCGGATGACACAAGTGTCCCGAGGTGTCGCCAGTGCCAGTGCCGCCAGTGAGTGCTCCAAGTGAGCAGCGATCCAAAGTGTGTGTCTGAAGTGGTTCCCAGTGTTCAAAGTGACCGAAGTGTTCAACTGGCCCACGTGCTCCAAGCGACCCAACTGACACCAAGGTGTGTCACAAAGTGACCTAAGTGTTCCAAGTGCTCCAGGCGACCCATGTGACACAACACATAGGTGGCTTCAGTGAAGAGTTTCATATTAAGGTAATCTAAACCACCTTGCATCAATACTACATGTTGCTTTATGAGAGTTGTAAGTGGGCGGTCTTAGGGTAGGTAGGCTTGCAGACTAATGCGCGCTTACAAAGCGTGCTTCCCTTTAGCGCGCCCTAAACCCAAAACCGTAAACTCCAAAACCCTAAACCCTTGGCTGACTGCTCCCCAGGCGACTCCAGGAGGAAGGCTTCGTCTCCCACGCCGTAGAGTTCCACCTTTTGGGTTGAGGGTCTAGCGTCTAGGGTTGAGGGTTTAGGTTTCTCATTTGAAGGGGCGCCGCTTGCACTCCACCCTCGCCTTGACCTTTGCGGGTTGAGGGTTTCCTGACTTTCTGATCGTGCTCATGCATGTCATTCCTGTTGGCAGTCGCAGGCTATGAACGTTCGGGTGATCCGAAGCCCCTTGACGGACTGGGCCCCTTCTGGGAGGCCTCCGGTTTCTGGGAAGCTTTGGAGGACCACCTAGTCTCCAGCGCAGCCGCCAGCGGGACTGAGAGCTCCGATGCCAGTTGGGGGGCCTACGGCTCCTGAGCTCCCTCACCTGCCGGCTTCGGTGCGTTCGCCCTGCTCGATGGCCGGGCTCACTCAGTTTAGGGTTGAGGGTTGAGGGTTTAGGGTTGAGGGTTTTAGAGTTTGAGGGTTGAGGGTTGAGGGTTGAGGGTTGAGGGTTGAGGGTTGAGGGTTGAGGGTTGAGGGTTGAGGGTTGAGGGTTGAGGGTTGAGGGTTGAGGGCTTTAGAGTTTGAGGGTTTGAGGCTTTGAGGCTTTGAGGGTTTTAGCGTTAGAGATGTCCACAAAGGCACGCAATGTCCAATGTCCGAAAATGGAAGGCCTTAAGGCTTCGGGCTAAGGATGCCCGAACCCTCGATCATGGGAAGGCGTGCACCTGCTCGTCCAGCAGCGCGAGCCTCACCAACAGCAGACAGGAACAGCGCGCGGATTCATATGAAGCATAGAGCCATCGGACTATGCCCAACGGAAAGCACCTAAACCCCAAGCCCTTAAGCCTCTGAACCCCTAAAGCCCTAAACCCCTCAACCCTACAGCCCCTCCAACCCCATCAACGGCCCTAGGCGTGAACCACAACACCCCAACCACAACACCCTAGGACCTAAACCAGGCCCCTGGCCGGAGGGCGATGTGTCTTGCAGAGAAAGAGGGTTTTAGGGTTCAGGGTTTGGTGGGTTTCAGGTTTCAGGGATCAGGGTTGAGGGTTCTAGGGTTTAGGGTTTGTTTCAGGGCTTCGAGTGGGTAGGAAGTCGAACCCCAAAGCGCCGGCAGAGATATTCGTGGAGCTTGAGGTTACTCAAGGGATGAGGGCGTCCATCTCAGTTCAAAGGTCGGGGGCTTCCCTTCTGCTCCTGAGAAGGCTTCATGGGAATCCTTCAAGGAAGAAAGATACCTTTTTTAGGGCCCTTGTTCTGATGCAAGTTATATTTCTGCATTCGGAGGGCATTGGGCTCCCTGAGATTCGGGTCTGGGGTTTAGGCGCGCCTCAGCACCTAACTCTTGAGAAGGCTACAAACCTAAACCCCAACCCTGAACCCTAACTCCAAGGCCTAAACCCCAAAGCTTAAACCCTAACCCCTAAGCATCAGACCCCGAAACCCAAACCCTACACCCCAACCCTACTTTGCCTAAACCCCAAACCCCTCAAACCCTGGCCCCCAACTCCAAACTCGAAACCTAAACCCCCAACTCTAAACCCCAATCCTAAAGACCTTAACCCCAAACCCTAAACCCCAAACCCCTAACCTAAACCCCTTAACCCCCAACTGTCAAGACCCTAACCCCCCAATTCCCCAAACCTCAGGAACCTCTAGACCCAAGAGTAACCTAGAAACAGGAAGGGTGCCCTTTCTGGGATCAAGGGGGCTTATCAGGGTTCAGGGTTTGGGGTTTAGAATTTAGGGTTTAGGGGTGTAGGGTCTAACCCTAAACCCTAAACCCTAAACTGCCCTAAACCCTAAACCCTAAACCCTAAACCCTAAACCCTAAACCCCTGCTAAAAAAGGAATCAGGGCCTACTTCAAGTAGGGCTTCGCCAGGCGGCTCCGGGAGCTGCGTCCAAGAGCTCTTTCCAGAGACCTCGACCTCAAGTTTGGGGGTTTAGGGTTTAGGGTTTAGGGGTTTAGGGTTTAGGGTTTAGGGTTTAGGGTTTAGGGTTTAGGGGTTTAGGGGTTTAGGAGTTTAGGGGTTTGGGGCTTTAGGGGTTTGGGGGCTTTAGGGGTTTGGGGGTTTAGGGCTTTAGGGGTTTGGGGTTTGGGGTTTAGACGCTTAGGGCTGAGGGTCAGTTCAGGGAGCCCCCAAAACCCTCAACCCTCAACCCTAAACCCTAAACCCTAAACCCTAAACCCTTCAGGGCTTGAGCCAAGAGGCGAGGTGCTGCAAGAGGTCCCCGGGGCAGAGGCTCCAGCAGTCGCGCGCGAGTTCCTCCTGCCCCAAGTGGGGGAGTTTGGGGTTGGGGTTTGGGGTTTAGGGTTTTGGGTTTTACAGGGTTCGGAGTTTGGGATTTTGCAAGGGTTTGGAGGGTAGGGTGTAGGATTTAGGCTTTAGGCTTTTGTGTTTAGGCTTTAGTCTTTAGGCTTTAGGCTTTAGGTTTTAGGCTTTAGGCTTTAGGCTTTAGGCTTTCGGCTTTAGGCTTTAGGGTTTAGGGTTTAGGGCTCAGGGCTTAGGGGTTAACAAGGGCTTACAAGGGTTTGCAAGGATTCATGGGACAGGACTTTGGGGTGGCCTCGGGCTTTTGGGGCCCCCAAGCCCGAAAGTTTTTAGGGACTCGGGTTCAGGTTTCAGGGTTTAGGTTTCAGGGTTTAGGGTTTAGGGTTTAGGGTTTAGGGTTCAAGGTTTTAGGGTTTAGGCGTGTGTTGAGGTTTAGGGTTTAGGGCTTCGGGTTTAGGGTTTAGGGCTTAGGGCTTAGGGCCTAGGGCCTAGGGCTCAGGCCCCCTGAACGACCCTAAACCCTAAACCCTAAACCCCAAACCCTACAACAGCTCCCCGCACTTGCACGCTGCGCACGTCTGGGCGTCGTCGAAGCCTGGGGCGCGACTCGATATTTTGGGGTTCTTTCAGGGTTTTTTGGGGCTAGGGTTTAAGGGTTTAGGGTTTAGGGTTTAGGGGCTTAGGGGTTTAGGGCTTTAGGGCTTTAGGGCTTTAGGGGTTTAGGGGTTTTGGGGTTTAGGGGTTTAGGGGCTTAGGAGTTAGGGTTGAGGGTCTAGGATTTAGGTTTTAGGGTTTAGGGGGGTTAAGGGGCTTAGGGCGTACGGTTTTGGGGGCTAAGGGTCAGGGGTTTAGGCTTCGGGGTTTAGGGTTTAGGGTCCCTCAAACACTAAACCCTAAACCCCAAACCCCAAACCCTAAACCCTACGAAGCCCTGGGCGCTAAACCTCTAAAACCTTAAACCCAAGCCCTAAGCCCTAGGCCCCAAAATCCTACAGCCCCACAGCGCAGCCCTCAGCGCTAGGAGACCCGAGAACCCTGCACACCCTAGACCCTAAACCCTAAACCCTAAACCCTAAACCCTAAACCCTGAACCCTGAACCCTGAACCCTGAAACCAAACCCTAAACCCTAAACCCTAACCCTAAACCCAAAACCCAAAACCCTAGAAGGAAGGCTCCCGAAATCGTAAAAGGGGATCTGGAGCAAACTCTGAGTTCTAATCAGGGAGTATGACTCAAAGACAGACTCCTAAACCCACCTCACCACTGAACCCTAAACCCTAAACCAACCCCAAACCCTAAACCTAACCCTAAACCCTAAACCCTAATTCCTAAACCCTAAACACTAAACCCTAACCCCTAATTCCTAAACCCCACGGTCCGGAACCCTGATGAAGAGGGTACTTATCAACCAATTATATGCAACTGTACCTTTAACCCACGTATGAGCGCCTTAAGTGCCCTAAGATGCTTATAATTTGGATTATAAGTACGGTTATACTTGGGGAACCCTAAACCCTAAACCCTAAACCCTAAACCCTAAACCCTAAACCCTAAACCCTAAACCCTAAACCCTAAACCCTAAACCCTAAACCCTAAACCCTAAACCCTAAACCCTAAACCCTAAACCCTAAACCCTAAACCCTAAACCCTAAACCCTAAACCCTACACCAGCACAGTGATAATTGGTGAAGAAGTACCCTGAACCTCCAAGCAACTCAACCCTGAGCTTGTGGAGCCCTCCTAAGCTTTCGCATAAAAGCAGGTTTGTCGCATGTAGGGTCGAGGGGTTTTGGTTTAGGGTTCAGGGTTTGGGGTCCAGGGTTCAGGGTTAGGGTTCAGGGTTTCGGGTTAGGCTTAGGGCTTAAGGTTTAGGGTTTAGGGTTTAGGGTTTAGGGTTTAGGGTTTAGGGTTTAGGGTTTAGGGTGTGGGGCTTCGGGTTTACGGTTTAGGGTTGAGCGAGTAGGGTTCTGGGTTTAGGGTTTAGGGAAGCCCTGAAGCCTGAACCAATGATAGAAAGACCCGTCCCAGCTGCAAGAGGCGAAGTGCTGGCCGTTCAGCCACTCCTGGGGAAGTGGCCGTGTGACTTCACAGGCTCAACCCTAAGCCCAAAGCCCCGAACCCTAAACCCTAAACCCTAAACCCTAACCCCCTTTTCAGTGACACTGCTCCAGGCCCAAGAAGTGCAGGAGAGGCCGCAAGGCGTACCTCAGAATCGGGGTTTAGAGTTTAGGGTTTAGGGCTTAGGGCTTAGGGTTTAGGGTTTAGGGCTTAGGGTTTAGGGTTTAAGGTTTAGGGCTAATTAGGGTTTAAGGCTTAGGGTTAGGGTTTTCAATCAGAGGCTCTACAGCACTGCTATCGCGAATGCAGTGTCCAGCGTATCCCCCCCCGTTGCAAAGAGCTCTTTTGTCAGGAGCTCCCACACCCTATTGCACCGTGGCCCTGCACCCCAAACCTTTGGAGTAGGGTTTAGGGTTTAGGGCTTAGGGCTTAGGTTTCCTAAACCCCAAACCTCCAAACCCAGCTTTACCGCACATAGATGGTGGATGTACCAACACACAACTAAGTTCAGTATAGTTCAGTATGTCTTGCAGTTGGATTCCAAGATTACGTAAATGGTCCTGTGCGTCTTGCTGCATGTGCTCCGGCTATCACTCGGCCCCAAACCCTAAGGGGTTTAGGGTTTAGGGTTTAAGGTTTAGGGTTTAGGGTTTAAGGTTTAGGGAGAAGGGGTTCAGGGTTTAAGGTTTAGGGCTTAGCGTTTAGAGGTTAGAGTTTAGGGTTTAGGGTTGAGGGTTGAGGGTTGAGGGTTGAGGGTTGAGGGTGTAGGGTGTAGGTTGTAGCTTGTGGGGTTTAGGATTTACGGTTTAGGGTTTAGGGTTGAGGGTTTAGGGTGTAGGGTGTAGGGTGTAGGGTGTAGGGTGTAGGGTTGAGGGTTGAGGGTTGAGGGTTGAGGGTTGAGGGTTGAGGGTTGAGGGTTGAGGGTTGAGGGTTTGGGGTTTGGGGTTTGGGGTTTGGGGTTTAGGGCCCTGTCTGGCGCCCAGTCGCGCACACTGCGTCGATGCGTGTCGGATCGCCCCAAGGGCTTCAGGCATGCCAAAGCGAACGTTGGCGAAGGACTGAGTGGGAGATTCAAGTGTTTAGGGTTTAGGGAACCCCAAACCCCAAACCCCAAACCCTAAACCCTAAACCCTAACCCTAAACCCTAAACCCTACACCCTTCACCCTAAACCCTGACCCTAAACCCTAAGCCCTAACCTTAACCCTACAGCGGAAAACTTGAGGCAGGTCCGTGTGGGTTTGATGGTTGGGGTTTGAGCTGTGAAGGAAACAGCCGCAACATTGTCTCAATTCCATTGGCCTTTCCGAAATGGGAGTTTCCGAAAACAAGGGTATCCTTCTTGGGCGGTGCCTTTAAGTGGATTCTATTCTATTTGAAGGTATAAAATGTGTACCCCTATTTTGGGAAGTACCCAAACTTCAAAGGCGTGCAGCACATAAAAAACTCTGTAAGTATTTCGGGTTTGGCTTCGGAGTCCTGGTTCACAGAAGGCGATGGATGCACGACACACCCAGAAGGAACCCTAAACCCCTCGAGCCCCTGTTTGTGGGCAAAGGGTCATGCGCAGTGTTTGGGGCGTAGGGTGCGCCAGGAGACTGTCAACACTGCCGCCACCGCTGCAGGATCGTGATCCAGAAATATCTCTTCCGGCTCCTCTGCAGCAGTGCAAGGTGGCTGGTTTTCTAGGCATACGAGGGCGGCCAAAGAAACAGGACCACGTTCTTGCGAACTGACCATGAAGGGTCTAGTGTTCAGAGCTTTGGCTTTCGGACCCTAAACCCTAAGCCCTAAGCCCTTAGCCCTAAACCCCTAAACCCTAAACCTGAAACCCTCAACCCTCAACCCTCAACCCTAAACCCTAAACCCTAAACTCTACACCAACATTTGTCTCGAAAGCGAGCGCATGAGCCCTTAATCAACAGCCACGCGTTCAGGGCTTCCGGCTTCAAGGCTTCAGGGTTCTGGCTTTGGGGTTTAGGGTTTTGGGCTTAGGTCTGCTTTGGGCTTAGGGCTTGGGGCTTAGGGCTTTGGGCTTGGGGCTTCGGGCTTAGGGCTTAGGGCTTGGGTTTCGGGCTTAGGGCTTAGGGCTTGGGGCTTAGGGTTTAGGGTTTAGGGTTTGGAGGGGCTTTGGGGTTTGGAGGGGCTTTGGGGTTTGGGGTTTACAGGTCAACGGGCTGAAGGTTTAGGGCCTCGGTCACTCGGATGGGTAGTGCGGGGCATTGCAAGCCACAACGATATTGGGATGAGAAGGTGTCGAGGAATTTGAAGCCCTAAGCCCCAAACCCGGAACCCTAGCCACCTTGGCTCCCTAAATCTCTACCCCCCCCCCCCCCCCCCCCCCCCCCCCAAGCACCGTGCTCGAAATCCATAGCCAGAGGCTTGAACCCGGAACCCAAAATCTCTAGACTCCAAACCTCGGGTCCAGTTTCTAAAGCCTTCGGAATTCAGGCTCCCACTGCGGCACAAAGCACCCCTCGGCCGTGAAAACGTAGCTGACCTTCAGGTGCTTCTCGTTCGTTCTGAGCCAGCTCTGCAGGTCCGGGCTGGCGCCAGCGAGGTGGGGGTCCTTCTGCGGCTTCTTCCAGTCGCGGTAGTTGTCGTTATCCACGAAGGGACAGTTTTCCACCTGAGAAAGGCGCAAGGTGTAAAGGTCATCCGCTCCAGGACCAACTGCATCGATATCTGGGATCTCGAGGAGCCTCTTTCGCAAACGATGATCCCACTCGGGAATGGGATTTCTGCGGAGTGTTCCGGCCTTGCAGACGGCATGAACTTGAAATCCTTTTTCCTCATAATATGTCGTGACGATGCGCACACCCTCCCAGTCAAAACCGGCCTCTTGACGCAGCACTGCCCTGGCATAGGTGTGGCCGATGTTGGCGCAATTGAGCACCACAGCCGAGTATAGCTTCCGTGTCCTTGAGGGTAGCCTTCGTGTCCTCCTCGGTTCTCGTAGGAGACAGTTGGTAGCATAGGCTTGTCCTCCAAAGCCCATTCCACTGTAGCACCTTCTGCCTCAGCCTTCTTCTTCAGGGCATCGCGCCGCGCACTCAGATGCAGCCAGCTGTGCGTTGCACCATGCTCTCGCAAAAGATTAAAACCATCGCTGAATCACTCGGCCCAGGCAGGATCTTTCGATTCCTTCACATACCACCATTCCGCTTCATCCAGTGGCTGTATGCCATCTCCATCGGCTAAGTTTGCATCAGCGTTCCAGGCAAGAAGCCGGCGGACAGCCTTCGCGGCTCCGGCACGAGCGGCATAATGAAGGGCGCCCTTGCCGCCCCTATCCGTCTCATGGAGCAGGGACGGGCTTTCGGCCAGCATCTGGTCCAGAACAGACACCTGCCCTTCCCCCGCAGCTTTCCGAAACTTCTTGCCACGCTCTGCATTCAGCGCAAGCGGGGCACCCTTCTCGGGGACGGACACCACAGCTCCGACGTGCGCTTGGGGAAGCTCGTCCCATAACACTGCCGCATTCCAAACTCTGAGATCGAGAATTCGTCCGCTGAACAGCTCCCTGCGAGACGCGCACCGGGAAATTAGGAGCTGATTTCGGTCGGCATGCTCTGGGGCCCAACCGGTGCGTAGCTCTGCCTGCCGCACCCCATCCCTGTAGATCTGCATGTGCCCACTGGCCGTCACGGTGCAAAGGTACGAGTGTATCTCTCCGGGTGTGATGCTGCCGTGGGCATCAACTCTTTGATAGTTCTTCCAGGCCCCATGGCTTGGAATGTCAGCGTCCTGCTACCTGCCCTCCCGAAAACGCGGATGGCATCCAAAGGCTCTCCAAATTCCTGCTGTCTCCCGAAGCATATGACAGTGCTCCAATCATTCACCTGATCCCAAGCTGCTGTAAATGCAACGCTGAAAGCCCCCCCAAACTCTCCCTGAAAATCGCCCACGGCGAGAGGAACTTCAGGTGAGGCGGCTGACCAGGCAGCCGAGGAGCTCACGCGCTCTAACCTGAGAACTGGCCGGACTGGAATGTCCTGCCACGACTTCAACTCGCTCCACACGAACAAGTCTTGAATAACACCTTGGAATGTGTGACGCCTATCCTCGGACTGGCCTACCCACACTTGGTTCCTCCACATTCTCCGCGGTGCCCAGCCATCACTCGAGTGAGCGATTCGCTCGCCATCTAGGTAAATCTGCATGTGCCCGTCGACAGATGCCGTGCAGAGGAACTGGTGCGCCACTCCAGGCCGGATGCATCCCCTCGCATCGACACGTCGATAATTTCGCCGTGGCCCATGGCTGATCTCGAAGGTCAATGTGGAGTTGCCCCTGTTGAACAAGCGGATCAAGTCTGTTGGCTCGTTGTCACCGCGACTCTTGGCGATGCAAAGGACAAAGCCCCACGTGTCCACATGGGCCCATTGGGCGCAAAAGGCAATGCTGACATTGCCTCCGAGCTCGCCGCTGCACTCAAGAGCATCATAGTCGCCCTCTGAACCCGACAATCTGCGACCTGCGTAGCTCGCCACCGCTACCTTGCCAGCCTGATCGGCCATGCTCGTGCCTTCGGGGACACCCTGTGGGCTTTTTCAAACACTGGGGTGTAGGGCGAGCCGAATGCTGTCCGGCAAGGGATGCAGGTTTGGGACGTCTTGAAGATGTGCGCTCGACAGCTGACAAGACTCTTCCTAAACCCTAAACCCTAAACCCCAAACCCCAAACCCTAAACCCTAAGCGCCTGCGCGCCCCAATCGAAGGAGCCGAAGAAGGTGCCGGGCAGAGCAAGCCGCCCCAGCGTGGCGCCCGTGGTCGTCTCAACGGGTGGCTAGGGTTTAGGGTTTAGAGCTGAGGGTTGAGGCTTAAGACCATAAACCCATAAACCCTAACTTCAAATCCGCAGCCCTAACCTCTTAACTCCAAACCCCCCTGAGCCCTCAAGCTGTGAAGAAGCCCTGTCACACCCCTTGTCCCCATAAAAACGGGGCTCCAAGAAGATGGTTTGACAGCTTAGTTCCCCAAACCCGAAACCTTTAAACTCCTAAACCCCACATACGTTTAACCGTGAACCCGAAGTTGATGTGAGTTTCATCGGAGGGACCACGAGAGCCCAATATCTCCGATAGTTTAGGCTTCAGGGTTTAGGCTTTCGGGTTTAGGGTTTATGTGTTAGAAAGACCGGTGGCCTCTTTATCTGCTACCCGTATACCTTCATGTAGCCCCTAGATACCCTAGAAGAACCCCCTACAAAGCAGAAACCCTACTTAAAGAGACCACCAACCAATATGACTTATGCGGCTTGAGGTTTTAGGGTCTCGGGTTATAGAGTTTAGGGTTTAGGGTTTAGGGTTTAGGGTTTAGGGTTTAGGGTTTAGGGTTTAGGGTTTAGGGTTTAGGGTTTAGGGTTGAAGGCATCTTAAACATTTCAGGTTTGGGATCCGTCAAGGCCAGCAGGGCACCGCTGTGTCCCATGGATGTGAGGGCCCTCAACTTCCCAGAAACCCTACAACTAAGGGTTTAGGGTTCAGGGTTCAGGGTTAGGGTTTGGGGTTTAGGGTTTGGGGTTTAGGGTTTAGGGTTTAGGGTTTGGGGTTTAGGGTTTAGGGTTTAGGGGTTAGGGTTTAGGGTTTAGGGTTTTTGGGGTTTAGGGTTTAGGGTTTAGGGTTTAGGGTTTAGGGTTAGGGTTTAGGGTTGGGATGCTCCCCGTCCTCAACAGGGATGAATTATCGTACCCCCGATGATAATCCCGATGAATCAAGGACTGCTAGTAGAAGTGTGAATCCCCCAACTCACGATCTCTAACCCCCGATTGGTCGTAAACCCTCAAACCACGCCCCGGAAAACCTAAACCCTAAACCCCTAAACCCCCAAACCCTAAACCCCCAAACCCTAAACCCCTAAACCCTAAACCCTAAACCCCAAACCCCTAAACCCTAAAGCCCTAAACCCTAAAGCCCTAAAGCCCTAAAGCCCTAAAGCCCTAAAGCCCTAAAGCCCTAAAGCCCTAAACCCCCAAACCCCTAAACCCCTAAACCCCTAAACCCCTAAACCCCTAAACCCCTAAACCCCTAAACCCTAAACCCCAAACCCTCAAGACGAGCCACAATCCGCGTGCCGCGAGCATTGATCACCACGACGGACTGCAGCAGCCGGGGGTTCGACGACGGGGATGGCGCCTCCTCTGCAACTCAGGCGGGGGGGGCGCGGTTTCGGGTGCAGAGACTTGGGGGTTGAGGGGTTGAGGGGTTGAGGGGTTGAGGGGTTGAGGGGTTGAGGGGTTGAGGGGTTGAGGGGTTGAGGGGTTGAGGGGTTGAGGGGTTGAGGGGTTGAGGGGTTGAGGGGTTGAGGGGTTGAGGGGTTGAGGGGTTGAGGGGTTGAGGGGTTGAGGGGTTGAGGGGTTGAGGGGTTGAGGGGTTTAAGGTTTAGGGTTCAGGTTTTAGGGTTTAGGATTTAGGGTTTAGGGTTTAGGGTTTAGGGTTTAGGGTTATCTCCCCCCGCGTCCTTCTCATCTGCCATGGGCGCACGGGAGTGTGCCGTCGGAACGCGGCATGGCGCGCGCACCGCCGGCTCCGCGCCACGCCATGATGATTGTGGGCTGTGGGCTCTTGGGGTGTGAACCCCTAAACCCTAAACCCTAAACCCTAAACCCTAAACCCTAAACCCTGAACCCTGAACCCTAAACCCTAAACCCTAAACCCTAAACCAAAGCTGTCGGGGTTTGTAGGGTCTCTTCCTTTTTGGGGTGTGAACCCTAGACCCTAAACCCTAAACCAAAACTGTTGGGCTTTCGGGGTTTGTAGGGTCTCTTCCGTTTTAGTGTTCAACCTTCCGGTGCAGCATTAGAGTGAAGGGTCTTGAGTTGGAGGTCTTTCACTGGTGGCTGGCGCCGGGCTCCGGGCTCAGGGGCACGCCCTTCAACAGGGTGTACTTGAAGGATAGCCCCAATCATAGCCATACTAGGGAACTTAAGGGGCTTCTAAGTGGGTTATAAGTAGAGTTATAATTGGGTTGAACCCCAAGTAGGGCCGAGGGCTGAAAGTGTCAGCAAAAGCCGTGGCGGCTGTTTTTTAGGCCTGTCTGGAAGGAATCCACGAAACGCGGCACACCCCCAAATACCCTAAAGCCTAAACCCTACACCCTAGAGCCCTTAACGCTAAAACCCGAAACCCTAAAACCCTAAACCCAAAATCCCTCCCAAAAAAAAAAAAGACTCTTTGGGTAGCGACATGGTCCCTTATTGTGGGGCCCTTAATTCGGGGAACCCTCAGATACCCCCTCATGTACCCTATCCAGCCCAGGGGCCCATACATCAGAACCCTTTAAAGAAGGTGAGGGGGGCCTCCCTTAGACAAAGCCCAAAGCCCTAACCCCTGCACCCTACAGACCCTAGACCCTAAACCCCAAGCCCTAAACTACCCTAAACCCCAAAACCCCGAAACCAGTACGGAGACCCTAAACCGCCCCGCAAACAACGCAAAAAAAACAAGCAAAAAATTTCCCCAAAACCCACCAAAACCCCGAACCCCCCGCCCAAAAAAAGAAGAATCAACAAATCCCCAAACTGCCCAAAAACCCCAAAATCTCGGTGCCGGAACCCCCTCCGTCGGCCTATGTCGCCGACGCCGTCGGCTGCTTCCACTTCCCGAGGTGGCCCTCCCGGAGCTTCCACATCAGGGGGCGGGATTTGTTGTTTGTGCTTCTTCGGGTGGTTTGGTTGGTGCTTCCTGTTTTCCGCTTTTTGTTTCGTGTGTGTTTTTGTTTGTGGATGTGTTGGGATTCTCGTTGCGTCTTTCGGGGTCGTTTGGTGGTTGGGGGGTTTGGGGTGGTTTGCGAGGGAGGGGGGTTTGGGTTTTGGGTGTAGGGCTTCAGAGCTTTTAGGGCTTTTGGGGGTTTGGGGTTTTGGGTTTTCGAGGTTCAGATTTTTTTAGGGCTTTCGGATTTCGGGACTAAGGGTCCAGGGTTTTGGGGTTCAGGGTTTATTCGGGTTTTGGGTTTAGGGTTTTGGTGTTTAGGGTCTGGGCGACGGCAAGATTATGCCGTGTATGGAAGCCTATAAACGGTTACCCTGATGAACCCTAAACCCCAAACCCCAAGCCCTAAACCCCAGAGACCGCATCCCTTCGCCTGAAAAACACAATCCTGAGGCATTTCGTGGAAGCAGACCTTCGTGGAAGCAGCATGTCAGCGTGGTTCTCCCCTTATTGTGATATGGCTACTGGCCTGCCAAGCTGGATTCATCTGATGGTTTAAGGTTCGGGGCTCAGGGATTTGGAGTTCTCGTTTTTGTTTTGGGAGGGGGGGGGGGGGGGGGGACGGGGGGCTTATCGGGTCTGGGGGTTCAGGGTTTCGGGGTTTAGGGTTTAGGGTTTAGGGTTCAGGGTTCAGGGTTTAGGGTTCAGGGTTTAGGGTTTAGGGCTGCGATGCTCAAAGCCGGGCTTCCCGGCCTGCGACGCCGACGCCTCAAGCGGCTTGAGGCGGAAGGGCCCAGAACGAGGAGCCGACTTCATCATGGGCTTCCCTAAACCCTAAACCCTAAACCCTGAACCCTGAACCCTAAACCCCAAACCCTGAACCCTGAACCCTAAACCCTAACCCCAAACCCTAAACCCTGAACCCTAAACCCTACAACGCCAAACCCCAAACCCTCATCAGTGCCTGGAATCTAAACACGCGAAAGCCCTCCAATCCGACGCTCTCCGAATGATTCGTTGGCGCCATCTCCCCAAGCCCCAAACCCAAGGGTTTAGGGGTTTAGGGTTTAGGGTTTAGGGTTTAGGGTTTAGGGTGCAGAGTTCAGGGGTTAGGGTTTTGGGTCTAGGGTGTAGGGAATATCGTTTCAATGAGGATGAAACATGTAACCTGAACACATCGGCGCGACATGCACCCAAGGGTGTCGTGAACACATGCCGACACGCAACGGAAGAACAAGGGACCCCTTAATCTTCTTCCCCTCTATAACCCCTATATATACCTTATAAAGTCCCTATATACCTAAGTAGCCCCTAAGTAACCCCCAAACAGCCCCTAAGGTCCCTTTTTGTAAACCCTGAACACTACAATGCGCAAGACGAAGTGGAAGCTTGGGCGTTCAAGGGCTGAGAGCAGGTGAAGGATTTCGGGTTGAGGGTTCAGGGTTTCGGTGGGTCTGCCGTGAGGGCTTTTGGCGTGTAGGGATTCGGCTTCCAGGGGCTTAGGGGTTTCAGGCTTTTGGGCCCTAAAGCCCCAACACCCGACACCAAACACCAAGGCTCTGAAACCCCAGAAAAAAAAAAACTGAAAACCCACAGACTTAAGCTCCAAGTCTGCGTCACCCAAACCCCAAACCCTATATATATATATATATATATATATATATATGCTCACGCCCCCCCCCCCCCATGATCCACGTTTCTGCTTCGAAACAGATGGATCTTGGGAGGAGAGGGGGCCATGAGCTAGCGACAAAAACACCGACAGGGCCGATAAAGACCTATATCATTTCAAGTCAGGCAGGTCATTTCCATCAACAAGGTAGAAACACACCCGAAAAAATCATATTTTGTAGAAAACTCGAGCCGGCTCGAGTTTTCCAAAAAAAGACTGACACAGTAGGTCGCCCAAACGCGAGCAGGCTCGAATTTTCAAAAAAAAACCTAAACTGCAGGATCTATGGCTCCAGCAGCCCGCTAGATCCTGAAAGTTAGGTTTTTATTAGAGAATTCGAGCCTGCTCGAGTTTCTGGGAGCTTGAGCTTCAAGAATTTTGGGAAAATTCGAGCCGGCTCGAATTTTCCAAGAAAAACTGACACAGTAGGTCGCCCAAACACGAGCAGGCTCGAATTTTCCAAAAAAAACCTAAATTTCAAGATCTATGGTTCCAGCAGCCCGCTAGATCCTGAAAGTTCGGTTTTTTTGGAAAATTCGAGCCTGCTCGAGTTTCTGGGACCTAAAGCTTCAAGAATTTTAGGAAAATTCGAGCCGGCTCGAATTTTCCAAACAAAACTGACACAGTAGGTCACCCAAACACGAGCAGGCTCGAATTTTCCAAAAAAAACCTAAATCTCAGGATCTATGGCTCCAGCAGCTCGCTAGATCCTGAAATTTAGGTTTTTTGTTGAAAATTCGAGCCTGCTCGAGTTTTCGAGACGTGGTGCTTCAAGAACTTTCGGAAAATTCGAGCCGGCTCGAATTTTCTAAAAAATGCTCAAACCATGGCTGTGTGACCCCAAGGCCTCATAGATGACATCATTTAGGTTTTTTTGGGAAAATTCGAGCCTGCTCGAGTTTCCGAGACCTGGAGCTTCAAGAATTTTAGGAAAATTCGAGCCGGCTCGAATTTTCTAAAAAAATGCTGAAACCATGGCTGTGTGACCCCAAGACCTCATAGATGACATCATTTAGGTTTTATTGGAAAATTCGCGCCTGCTCGAGTTTTGGTGACCTGGTGCCTCGAGAATTTTCGGAAAATTCGAGCCGGCTCGATTTTTCCCTATATCTCTTGAAATTCTGACTGCGGTAATTGATACAATTAGTAGCATCAGTTACTATTTCTAATTGTTAAGTTTCCCATATATTTTAACGGCAAATATCTAACTTGTGAGAAGAGGCCACGCAATGGTTTAAATCCGACAGCCGTTTTGTTCTTAAACCCTTGACAATTAACATAAGAACTTTTTTGTGTAATTTAAAACTTAAACTATCAATGAGGATATCTTCGGGATTAGAAGTTCCCATTATATATAAATAGCATAGATAATTTAATTACATATACATACCTTCAACTTGTATCCAATCAAGTATTTCAAAACTATATGAATTGTCTTTACTATTGTTCTTCTTTCTACCTTTCACCTGCTTAACCGCTTCATCTACTTCATTATTCTCAACTAACTTTCTTATCTCTTCGTAAGCATTTTGTTTAAATTGCTTCTCTATCTTCGATTTCTCTATTTGTTCGTATGTTGTTGCTTTCTTATGAAACGCTATGAATATTATGTCGATTATTGCATCAAACTGTTGTTAAAAACTCTTCTTCGGTTATAGGTAGATGTCCTGCTTTGTTTTTAACATTGCCTATATCTTCATAAGGATGATTTCGTAGAGGGTCTAATGTTGATTTCTTTGATGTTATACTTCCTTAGTCAAACATACCAACGGGGTCTCCTGCTTTCCGTATTCTTAAATTTGTCCCAGTGTCTTCTGGTCGCTGTCCTGATACAAAAGGAGAACCATAACTACGACTTCTGAATAAATTACCATAATCATTGTTTATTTGTTGTCCCGATGCTGAACCTAAACTAATTATGACTTACAATACCAGAAATTCCCGTTTTTTCTTTCTTTAACCGTCTATTTCAATAAAACCATCTTATATGAACTTACCTACATCTTTACAACGCTGAGTCTGTTGCGTCTTGTATAAAGGAAGCTTTCAATCATCATAAACATCTCTACCGCTTTTCGTCCCAGCAATGTATAAAATATAACCATTTTTTGATATATCCCGTCAGGATTCTCATACGCTAATTTAAGTCCTTG